ACCTTGACACAATGGGCCAGGGCAGCCTGCACTGCTAATGTATGCATGGAGATTTGTCCATATTTTTCCATTTGTTTTAATAAGCTACACATACCTGTAAAAAATTAGTTTATGATGCTGAGTTGTCAATACCCAAATTTAAGGATGGAGACGGCTGTTGTCAATACGTGTGCCCAAAACCGCAGAATGTTTTTGTCAACAATAGCAGTCATCATTTAAATTGTCCTAAAATTAACTTGAGTCTTATTGTTGGTTGCAAAGTAAATTAACACAAAGGCGGCAATATAAATTTGGCCTTGAAGGAAAGAAGCACAAATATAAGTCCTTTTCTCCATTGTGAAGAATCCACAATGGACCAGGCGCTGGTGGGGTTGGGGCTGCCCCAGTAGATGGAGACTTTTTCAGAGTTTAGAGGCGTGTCAACATATGTGACGCACTGTCACATCCCTTCGTTCGATTCGATTCATGATTTCACTGCCACGAAGCGCTCAAATTCGTGTGCAACAGTCTAAAAACGAAATAAACCGAGCCAAGAAGCACACACGAACTCGCACGTAAACATTTGCGACGCAACAAAAAAAATGCTGCCAACCTATGAAATGAAAAGAACGTCTTTTTTTTTTCGTTCTTGTCTTTTCATTTCATAGGTTGGCAGCTTTTTGTTTTGTTGCGTCCAAATGTTTACGTGCGAGTTCGTGTGTGCTTCTTGGCTGGGTTTTATTTCGTTTTTAGACTGTTGCACACGAATTTGAGCGCTTCGTGGCAGTGAAATCATGAATCGAACGAAGGGGGATGTGACAGTGCGTCACATATGTTGACACGCCTCTAAACTCTAAAAATGTCCCATCTACGGGGGCAGCCCAACCTCACCAGCGCCTGGTCCATTGTGGATTCTTCACAATGGAGAAAGGACTTATTTTTGTGCTTCTTTCCTTCAAGGCCAAATTTATATTGCCGCCTTTGTTTTAAATTTTACTTTGCAACCAACAATAAGACTCAATTTAAATTTTTAGGAAAATTTAAAGTGATGACTGCTATTCGTTGACAAAACATTCTGCGGTTTGGTCACACGTATTGACAACAGCCGTCTCCATCCTTAATTGGATATTGACAACTCAGCATCATAAACTAATTTTTGACAGGTATGTGTAGCTTATTAAAACAAATGGAAAAATATGGACAAATCTCCATGCATACATTAGCAGTGCAGGCTGCCCTGGCCCATTGTGTCAAGGTGTTTAACTGCTGCGCGCCTTGCAAGGCGTTTAATGGTAAGACACCTTCAAAGGTGCGTAGCTGCTAAACACCTTGGTTCAAACAAGGGATGGCATGGCTGTATTCAAAGACAGTCAAGCTGTTCAGCCTCTGCACACCTCCAAGGTGTCTAGCAGTTAAACGCCTTGGAAGGCGTATAGTAGTTAGACGCCTTGAGGCAATGGAAAGAGGCAGCTTGTATTGCATTAGTACTCCCACTGCTGTTGTGGTGGGTACAGGCCAAGCAAAGGTGTCTTGTAATTCAACGCCTTAGGCGTTGAGTAACAAACGCCTTAGGCGTTGATAAATAACGCATCAAGGCGTCTAGGTTTTTGAGGCAAACGCCTTAAGGCGCTTAGTTATTGAACACCCAGGAATAACAGTGTACCCTCCCGTTCGCAGGCGCTCTTCGGGGAAAGAGGCCCAACTCAGCTGCCCACGCACAGGGAAGCCAGCCGCCGACAAAAGAACTTCCAAGAACTGTTTGCTCCTCAGTGGACCTGCCCCTGCCCCTGTCCGCCTGCATTCGCATGCACACTTGCACCGACCGGGCGTGGCGAGAGACGCAGCCAGAGAGGCGTTCCTGTCCACTAAGGCGTTTCTATCCAGTAGGGCGTTCCTGTCCACTAATGCGTTCGTATCCAGTAGGGCGTTTCTGTCCACTAAGGCGTTTCTATCCAGTAGGGCGTTCCTGTCCACTAATGCGTTCGTATCCAGTAGGGCGTTTCTGTCCACTAAGGCGTTTCTATCCAGTAGGGCGTTCCTGTCTACTAAGGCGTTTCTATCCAGTAGGGCGTTTCTGTCCAGTAAGGCGTTTCTATCCAGTAGGGCGTTCCTGTCTACTAAGGCGTTCACTCTCATTTCAGAAACGTGACATCACGTTGAAACGAACGTGACAAAGTGTCACGTTCGTTTGAGCATTGTGTCACGTTCGTTTGAATGTGAACAAGCTGATTTTTGGCCAATTCACACCCAAACGAATGTGACACAATGCTCAAACGAACGTGACAAAGTTTAACGTTCGTTTGAGCATTGTGTCACGTTCGTTTGAATGTGAACAAGCTGATTTTTGG